CAGGCCTATCTTAGAGAATAACCAAAATGTCTGGACTAATTCTCCATCTCTCCCTTCTTCTACCCCTGTAGAATTTAACTGACTTGTCACTGATATATATTCTGTTTGTGCTGGTAGTGCCAACTTCATGTAATTCAATTTGTATTTCAGGGTTATAATTTTATGTCAAACTCTTTTCAAACAAACAAACAAAACTTCAGTTAATTCAAATTCAGCCTCAAAGCCCAAATTTCTTAGCAAGGTCTTCTAAAAAAGTGTTGCAAAGTACATGGAAAGTTTTTGGACACCGGAGATATTTTGCAGACCCCTCCCACTCACAGGTGCCACATAAAATGTCACATCTTTTCTGAAGCCTTCCCTGAATTCCCTAGTTAGAGTTTGTCACTCTATGCTATATCTTTTGTCCTCTTGATACCAAATGTGTAATTATCATGGGATACTTATTTATTTACAGATTTTATATTTCCTACTAGATATTGTAGCCCTTCAAAATACAGACTATATAATGTTCATTTTTATTTCTCATGATTATCCCCCCAAATAAATGCATGTTTATTAGCTGAAATAGTGCTTAAATAGTTATTGAGTGACTCTAATTATATGTTCGGTTTTGTTCATTTGTTTTTATATCTCCAACCCTTAGACTAAGTTTCTACGGGTGAGAACCCATATATATTTTGTTCACTACTGTGAACCAAGGCCTGATTAATGGCTTTTAATGTTTAAGAGAGTTTCTGAACATAAAATTCTTTAACTCAAAGGAATGAACCTCTTGATAAATATTTTGGCATCATGGAAAAGATGGTTTTAAGATATAGCTGTAATTTTCAAAATGTCGGTTGTGGCTCATATTTATTTTATATGCTATCAATTCAGTTGACTGTGACCACCATTTTAGAAAAGGAAAAATGAAGTTGGATTGTATTAGTTTTCTGCTGCATAAAAAATTAACACAAATTTAACAGCTTAAAACAACATTATTTTTTTAAAATTTTTTTAAAGATTTTATTTTATTTATTTGAAACAGAGAGAGAGAGAGAGAGAGAGAGAGAGAGAGAGAGAGAGCACAAGAGGGGGTAGGGTGAGAGGGAGAAGCAGACTCCCTGCTGAGCAGGGAGCCCAATGCGGGACTCAATCCCAGGACTCCGGGATCATGACCTGAGCTGAAGGCAGTTGCTTAACCAACTGAGCCACCCAGGCACCCACAACATTAATTTATTATCTCACAGTGGCTTGGGTGTTGGTGCACAGGTTAGCTGGAGCCTCTGCTCAGGGTCTCACAAGTCGCAATAAGCTTGTAAGTGGGGACTGGGTCTTATATTAGTCTCAGGGTTCTCGTCTGTGATACTGTGATTTATGATAAGAAATGTATTTGGTCTCTGTCCCATTTTTGGTAGAAACCCTTGGAATTTCCTAAGTGATGAGAGCACAGAGTTGGCTTTTGTTGTGTTAATAGGTGATTTTTGGGCTGCACCTAAGAATGGGGGCTGGTTGCCAGTAGAACCAACAATGTGATTAGAGTATGAGAACTTTCAGCCCTACTGCCTCACCTCTGGGGGTGAACTAGAGGATGGACTAGAGGTTGAATCAGTTGCCACTGGCCAGTCATTTTATCAGTCATGTCTATGAAATGAAGCTTCCATTAAAAACCCAAAAGGACTGGGTTCAGAGAACTTCTGGGTTGGTGAACATGTGGCGATTCTTAGAGTGGTCTGATCCACCTGGAAAGGGCATGCAAGCCCTGCACTCTTTCTCCACACCTTGTCCTATGCATCTCGTCCATCTGACTATTTCTAACTTCTATCTTTTTTATAATAGCTGGCAATCTAATTGAAAAACAAGTTCCATGAGTTCTGTGAACAGCTTTAGCAAATTAATTGAACCCAAGGAGGGGGTTGTGGGAACCTCAGATTGATAGCCAGTCAGTCAGAAATACACGTAACATCTTGGGACTGGTATCTAAAGCCCAAGGAGGGGGTCGTGGGGATCTGGCAGGCCAGTCAGAAGCACAGGTAGAGACCTGGGCTTGCAATTTACATCTGAAGTGTGTGTGTGGGGGTGGGCAGGGGAGGCAGTCTTGTAAGACTGTGGAATCTGATGCTATCTCCAGGTAGATAGTGTCAGAATTGAGTTAAATTGGGGGATAAACCGCTAATCTAATGTCCAGAGAATAGCTTAGTGGTATGGGAGAACCTCTTCCATCCCATGTTGGAATTCGTACTAGAACCCTTTATATTTCAAAATCCTCTATTTCTTCAAGTCTCTGACCTCTTGACCCTCTTTTAAAGTGATCACCTGATTAAGTCAGGCTCACCCAGGATAATATCCCTTCTGATTAGCTTAAATTCAGCTGATTAGGGGCAAGAGACTTTAATTACAGCTGAAAAATGTCTTTACCTCTTCTTATAATGTAACCTAATCAAGGAGTAACATCTTATATCCACAGGAATTTTCCCTACCAAGGGGAGGGCATTACACAAGAGTATAACTCATTGGGAGTCATTTTAGAATTTTGTCTATCCTATTGCTTTAGTGATATGTGTGTATGTATGTGTGCAGGTTCATTGTTTAGGTATGTGTATGTCTGCGAAAGTAGTGGGTCCTAATGTCATAATGCAAAAGCCATTTTGAACCGTGGGTCACTTTCAAAAAATTTGAAAACCACTTGGCTATAGGATAAATTTACAATGCTTCTCAATTTCCAAAAGTAAGGAAATGCTTACTCCAACCATAAACAATGCTGAGCAGCTTTAGAAATCTTTTTTTTTTTTTTTGATATTCGTTACTGACTTTTGTGATTTTTGCAGTCACTCATTCATTCAATCCGTATTGAACATATTCTATATGTGAGGCTTTGCATTAGGCAACAAAGACCATAAATTCCTTGAGATCAGCAATCATGATGGAAGATCTATGTATACCTAAATAAAAGACCAATGTAATACCTGTTTGGAGGTGGGGCGGTGGGCGGGGGGCTGTTAGAGAATTTTGAAAGGGAAACAATGGTAAAAGTTCGTATTTTGAAGAAGTTTTAGTAGTAGTATTTCTGCTAAAGCACCATGTTTCTTTTCCAACTTTCTTAAAACTCAACTTCATAGCTCAATAATAGGAGAAATAAGACAAGCAATTAAAAGGAGAAGAAAGGAAAAGATTAAAGAAGAACTTATAAAGGAGCCTGGATCTGAAATAGGATTCTCACACATTTTAAAGAAATAATATCATTCTACTCAGCAATTAAAATAAAGAACTTAAAGTGCATTTCTAATATCATATCTTAGATTTTTTATAGTTTTATTACTCACCTCAGGTTACATCTCAGGGATGGAGTGAGCAACCACTCAAATTATTATTGATAAGGCTTGTGTGTCTTTGCATTTGCTGGGCTGGCAATTGGTTTGGCACAAGCTGTGAAAACCCCCAAATCAAGCACAAACCCTGCTCTCATCTGTCTCTGCCACCAAGCAGAAGCCAGTGGCAATGAGGAGATCATACACATTATACTTTGATTGTTATTTGGACATGCAGACTCCCCAAATTGCTCATAAATGAATGTCAATTCCCCTAAACGAAAGTACATTTTGATTAGCTAATTTTATTGTGACACACTATCCCTTATTAATGCACTAGAATACCATTGTACTTCAAAGCTTAGGTTGAAATTTTAAAGCCTCTGTCTCATTTTCTAATATATCTGTAGAAAGGGCTGCTCTGTTTCTAACATTGAGGTATTGTGTGCTGTACAAAGAAATGTTTTTCCTTAGTATCTTGAGACTTTCTGTTTCCCAATGAGCTCAGATTCAAGGTTAACACACAACAGTCATTTCCTGGGCAGTTAGATGAGGATATGTTCAGTTTAATGATTGTGAACCAATTGTCAGAAGCCTGGCTTCTGCACTTGTCATAAAGTACCCTCTAGTTCCTTATTGCCTTAAAATTTCTATCAGGACCATTGTCTTCCACGATCCTTTGATATTTCTCCCTTAATATTGATAGTATTTTTCTTGTAAAAATCTCCAAGAACTTAATGAATGTGTCTCATTACTCTTTTATTAATGTTGTTGATTAGATTTATGGATTTATGGATTCATAATTTGGGCTTATGAAAGATTTGTTCCCTTTGAGACACAAAGCCCAAGAAATAAATTAACCCTCCCCCATCCTCATTCTTTCTTCGTGTTCCACCTCTATTAGAAAAAATAAGCTTGGAATGCAAAACAAAAGAAAAGAATTATAGTTGTCACTAATTGATTGTTTTTCAGCATTCATGTGCAGTGTATAATTATCTAAAATTATGTTAAAATCCATAATTTTATGTGAAATGAAAGAGAAAGTGAAGCTCCATCTAGAAGGTAATCTAAATATTATAAACTCTATTAAATCTAACAAAGTACCTAGAATGACAACCTTGAAATACTTGAGTCAAACCCTTTATCTCCTGCCCATGAGTTCTGTAAAGATAGCTAAAAATAAATTGTTTACTCATTTTCCTGTAATAGAGATTTCAGTTCTCTATTTGCATAGCTTTCTTAGGGATGTTGCAGCTATTTCCACTTCTGTGTGTATTAATGCAAAAAGAGTTCAAGGGTAGATGTCCTTCAGATAATTCAAAATACATGTTATACTTGCAAAAGTTCAGTTTCAGTTGAATAACCTGCACTTAGCACAGAGTGACATTTAATTTAGATGTTCAGTAGTATAGATTATTGGTCCTGGGGGTTATACCTTGGCCAGTAATGAGTGCAAAAGTGACATATGACTGATGTTATTGTTTGCAAATTATTATACTGCTAGTGAAGGTAACTATTAAAGACAATCAAATATAGCTCAGTTGTATAGTGAAATCATTACTTTCTGCAAATATCTTGTGATTTATTCAAAAGCATTATGAAGCACCAAAGAATTTGAGAGACTCTCCACCATAATCCAAGGAGGTTGTGACCTCATAGATTAAATGGAATGATGAGTTTCTGTTGTCACAATGACACAGCCTTGAAGATGCAGCCTTGGCAGTACAAGGTTAGCTTGATGGGATTAAAGCAATGAATGGATTTACATAACATTTGAAATGTTGGTATGTGATCTTCATTGTCAAGTAAAATATTGACTTAGCAGAGATTGATTTGCTGTTGAAAACATTCATTTCTGGTGTAGAATAAAATTCTGAAAAACCTTTATCTTACTAGTAGCTCTTCTCTCCAAATATGTTTTGAGGGCAGTTTCTCTTTGGACCACAGTTTCATCAATACCTGGGCTCCTACTGTATTCAGATTCCTTACCATGATAATAATCTCTTAACTACTCCCCATTTCCTCTCCTCTCCCTCTCCCTCTTCCTCTTCCTCTTAGCAAAGATGGTGATTGGCAACTTTAAAAATGATCTCAGGTTTTCAGATATTCTTTTTCAGTGTAACCAAGCTCTCATCTGAGGTTCATCAAGACTGGGTAGCTTGGCTCATGAAAAGAGTTAAAAAAAAAAAAAAAAAAAGACTCCAATTCTCCTGTCCACCATTTCGCTGGAAGAATTAATGGCATATTTAAATTTTCAGTTTTCCGAAGAAGCCCTTTCATTGTTCTCCATCCTACCACAGTGCTGAGTTTGTATTTAAACGTTTCATTTTGTGCATTTCAAACTGTCAGGCTGAAGAAATACCAATAAGTGTGTTAGGTTTAGATAATCGAAAATTCCCTTTACTCAGCTTCTTAGTCTATATTTATCTGTCTGGCTGTGAAATCTATTCCAAGAGTATTCATCTACCACCCAAATCTATTCACCAAGCATCAAGACTCATCAGTGAGATGGAATAATGCCATTTAATTAGTCTTTGATATACAGCTTAATTAGGTCTTAATAAGGGGTAGTGCATCCTAAAATCAATTATCTTGCTCTTTTTAATAAGAGCAACTAATTAGTAGGAAAAATCACCACAGTTTTCTTTTTATCCTGAAGCTTTCCATGGTGCTAGGAAGAAGGTTATGAAGAAGAAAAAAATACTCCAGAATATTTAGAAGAAATGTCATCTTGAACCTAAAAGGATATATTCAAAATAGTTGCAATAGGTTAGAAATATTTTACAGAAAATGCAATGCCACCAATTTAGCATCTTCGCATATTTTGTGATTTTTTAGTTCGTGCAATAAAGAAAAGTTAAATGCCTTCCTACCTGTATGTTTAGCTCTTCCTTAATATTGTTAAGTATCCTAGATGTAGGTCCACTGCAACTATGTCTTCAGTAATTAGAGTGCCACATTTTCAATTAATCATTTTGATTAACTGGTACCTGTTTTGTTCTAGCCTAGGAAGTGCCCCCATAAGCTGCTAAAGACAATTACTACTTGAGTGACTCTGTGTTCTAGGTCTTTGGATTTTTCTGTGTATATTTTGTTTTCTACAATATAGTAGATTATACTTAGCTGTTCAAAGAAGGATTGCCTTTTCATGATACTCATAAATTTAACACATTTATTCAACTTCTGTGAACTAGGTACTGCTCAAGCCACTGACATTTGGATGTGAATAAAACAAAGTCCTTGCTTTCAAAAAAAAATCTTCAAAGAGCTCACATTTTAATGATATGAAATAAGAAGTGAACATGAAAACAAACAAGGGAATTTCAGAAAATGGTCTGTAAATGCAGTCACGTAGGGTACTGTGGTACAGAGTAACTGGGGACAGAAGATGTGCTTCAGATGGGAAGGTCAAGGAAAGGGTCTCTGAGGAGGTATGTTTAAGCTGAGACCAGAAGGAAGAGAAGGAGATGGTCAGGGGTAGGTCTAGTAGAAGAGCAAAGGAAAGGCCCTGAGTCAGGGAAAAACTTGTTGTATTTGAAGAATATAAAGAATGGCACTACCCCAGATATCAGTAATGGAAAGGAGGAGGGGTAAAAAAATGAGGTCATATAGAAGTTGGAATTCAGCTCAGGCTGAGCCTGGTAAACTATGGCAAAGAATTTGGATGTTATTCTGAGTAGAGTAAGAATTTGTTCGTTGGGGAAATAGTGTGATTGACCTAACTTACATATTTTCACAATCAGAATGAATATTTAATTATAGAACCTACATGGTAAGTATATAGGCTTTTACAGTACAGTTGCTTCAACTTTATGTTTGAAATTTTTCATAATCAAATGCTGAGAAAAAAATATGGCCATTGAAATGGAAGAATTAGAAGCATGGGATGATCTAAGAATCAGATGATGTTAGTTTAAATTAGGATTTTAGTGGGAGAAATGGAGAGCGAGACCCACCTCCTCCAAATGAGAAGGCATAGTGATTGTATTAAAAATGAAAGGCGCATTATGTTGGGCCTCTGAAAAAAATTGTCTAGTGATTATTGTATTGCATTTAGAGTAAGTTCTTTCCATGGCTTCGGGTCACCTAGCCGAAGAGAAATACATTAATAGTCAGAAATGCCTGCCTTGTCAAGTTTGTCAAGAGTTGGAAGAGGACTTCATGGGGATCAGACTGAGCCAGTGGAGTGTACTCTGAATTATGCTCCATTACTTATGAACTGAAGCAATGCTGCACCATCTGTCCGGGTGTATATGACTTGTTTTAATTCAGGCATGCTTAAGGATACGGTAAAGAACTTGGAAGCCAGGTTCTGTCTTTGCCTAGTTCCCTTTGGGAAAAGCACTCACCTCAGCAGGAGGCTAGCTTCCAGGAAAATCCTTCAAAGAATCCATTAATACTAGCTGCTTGCTGCTAACTACTTCCTGGGAATGCATGCTTTATAGAAAGGGACAACAAATGAGGGACCTTTTTGAAGAGCCTCGTAATCAAGCTCAAGAAGGTAACGGACTTTATGCTTGGCCTCAACCACAGTCGTGTACAATTGGCACTTAATAAAAACAACTCTCTGATGATAAGGGCACCCGTACCAGCGAGAGCAAATACATTAATTTTTTTTCTTTTTTTTTCTGAGAGCTGTAAGCATCCTCTCGCTCTTGCTTGCCTCAGCAGTACGCAATCAAAAGATGAACTAATACACATACAACTTAGGTATATGTCACATTTGAGAAGCCCTTACTGGACAAAGTCCTTCAATAAATTTAACTTATATTTTTAACTTGAGCACTTTCAGAGGGCATAATGATTTCTCTTACAGAGCTCATTAGGTCTTACCTGGGAGATTTAAGAAAGCGAAAAAGCTGAAAATAGACATGATCTGCTGTAAAGGAAGTGCTGTAGCTATAGTTGGCTACTCAGAGTTCAAGACTGTATCACAGTGATGAACAGGTGCGTTCTTGCTTCAGTCTGCATTTTTTGTATTGCCTTCCCATAGTAGGCAGTGATCACAGCACACCACCACTATTTAACAAGTCTAACATGCTCTCCGCCTCTTTGTTTTTCCCTTCAGTGTGTTAGTCATGCTTTTTTGAGGGGAGAATTGTTCTGAAAAGCCATTTCCCCTCATGAGGCCTAGTAAATTGTTGCCTTCCTTTGATAGCTAATCCTGATTCAAATGTTGATCCTGATAGTTCAGGTCTCAGCTTAACATCCTGTGAGTACTAACTGCTGAATGGGAAAAGCAATAGAGCTACTGTGAGACAGACTACATCAGAGGTGCCACAGAAGAGAAGAACAGATGTTTTGGTCTCATTTAATCCCAACACAATGGGATTTGGGGAGGGAAAGTGAGTAGGATGGAGCTATTGTTGGAAGAAAAGGGTAAACAGCTCCAAGTCTTTCTAATGAAAAGATTGGATTGAACATGGCATTTATACATTCATTCAGAAGGAACTAAATGTCTGACCTAATCAAGAGCAAAGGATTTAGGGAGACTTCATGATATAGTTTTAAAATTAGAAGATTATCAGAATGAGGTTTACAACTAACAAGTTCCAGTTTTTAGTATTCTGCCAACACACATACACAAGTTACACTCAAGTTTAGGGCCTCAATACAGAGCTCAGCCCCATAAAGGATTGACTAAAGGAAGGATGGATGGATTGATAGAGAGGTGAAGGAAGGTCCTCATAATAGAATGAGTGAACACAATTTTTGACCCTAAAATGACATTATTGGTACATTTTAGAGATGAAAATCAGAACCACACTTCAGTATTATAGCCATATGCAGGAAACCAAGATTTATGCCAAAAGTCTCCAACCTCATCTTTTCCCAGGCATCTTGGTGAAATGTCACGTTTGCTTTGCTCAGAGTAAGCCAAGGAACTGCTAATACTGGAAACTCTGGATAATCAACACACATCAACTGCATAGAGAAACTTGGCTCTAATTTCAAACTCTTAGAGGCCTTCAGTTGACTGAAGCCTTAACAGTTGGCTCTGGCTTACTATTGCTTCTGTTTCTAAAGCCTCATCCTCAACTGAAACCTCAGTAATTGTCTGTTCCACATGAGCTATCACTTTGTTACAAGCTTTCATGCTCTTTGTTTTTACACTGAATTGTTTTGTCTGCATGTCTTGTTGTAGATAATAGATGGATAGAAGGTATAGTTAAAAATGAAGAGCTGGCTGCAGTATTTCAGATTCAAACTCATTCAGTTTCCTTGCTTTGTGACCCTGAGTAAGGAGTTAAATTCTCTGAGCCTCAGGGAATGTGGTGAGGAATGAAAAGATGCTTATAAAACTCTTAGGATAATGTTTGGCATTAGTAAGCCTTCAAATGTTTATTGTCATTATTTTAAGGTTTAAAGAATATTTTCTCTCTCTTTTACATTATTATATTCTATGATTGAGCATAATATTAAGGACTGAGGTGCTCCAGCCCTTTTTGTATTTCCTGTAGAAAATGTTTTTTCTTCTTTCTGTTATCTTTCTTTATAAATTGTGCTCTTTTGATATATATTTTTTCATTACCCATACATAAATCTTGAAAGTTAATACATAATAGTACTTTCACTAAAACCTTCTCTTCCCACCCCCATACCAGGTTGTTACAACTAAACCTATTATTATTATGTCTCCCTACAAAGTAGTGAATTGACTCACCATGATAGCATTTAAGTCCAACAAATTTGCCATATGACCAGTAACAAAATTGTCTTAGGTATCTGTTTTGGCTTCTGTGCATTCTCAAATAACATAATTTGAAGCAAGAGTAAAATAGATACTAATTACAATGATGATAGGAAGCACAAGAATGCCTCTGCCATTGTTTTATGTCCTTCTCTGCAGAAATCTATGAAGATAGGAAACAAAAGGCAGCCTGTTTCTCTATATGGCTCACTTCTATATAGTTCGTATAGCCATTTATGGCTTCTTTTGCTCTTCTCTTTAATTGATTTCCTTATTCAGCAAATAGAAGCAAGATACAATTAACCTTGTGAGTAGTTCTTTAGGGGGGTACATATTCAGATTTGATTGGGTCTCAGTTGGGTCACTCTCATTGACCTGAAGGTCAAAAAAAGAACATGCTTGCTGCTTTTGGGTAAGTAATATTGAATTAAATCTCTTCAGAGACTAGTTTTAAGCCTGGAAAAGTCTTCTGGCTTAAACAGTGAGATAATTGGAGTGTCTTGTGGCATCAAGTGTTTGAGTGCAAATTAATATTTCTGTGTGATTGCTTGCTATACGTTTTTAAAGGATTCCCATTGAAAGTGAGTTTAGTTTACATACAAGCCTCGCAGTTATCTATTGAAAACAGTTGCAAGTAGCAGTTACAGCAGTAATTACTGGACAACCATTTGTTTAGGATATGAAGGTCAGGTCATGTTTTCCTGACACATTAAACAAATATCTACATGAGTCAGGGTGTTTCAAAAGTTAAATGCCTTCTGATGACATATATTTAATTGAAATTCCACAGAGCAATATTTCTGTTTTTCTCTTGTCTTGAGATAAAGACGTCCTCCTCTCTTGCTAAAGAGCAAGTTGTGAAATTTGGGGTTTGGAGGGCAAATAAATTCAGGGCAGGAGGGATCCTTTTGAAATCTTGGCATACAAATGTCTGCGAAACTACTCCAAATTAGAATGGCTTTTATGAAGTTTTTAGATCCATAGAGCCACCCATGTCGTCTTTTCTACACTCTGATTCTCCTAACTTGATGAATGGTTTCAATTTATTAAAAAAAAAAGAAGTTTCTCTGTTCATTTTCTGACCCCAGCACATATTTTAACTTTAAAATATTTCTGTTCCTCAAGGTAACACTCTAGATACACAACACTCAGAAAGGACCATATCTAATTTGATTTATTTTCTTATATACTATATTATAAACTTGAGGCTTAATTTTTATGTAGTTTTAAAGGTGGAATGTTTGTTCCTCAGGTGTGTTTTATTCATTAAATATTGGGTGCTTAGGACCTGTGATCTTGCTGAGGGACTTAAAAATATTCTTGAGACATGAAAAAAAATACATATATATGTCTTAAATCTCGAGAAGAAAAAACTGAATTTGAGGTCAATGCATGCTTAATTCAGTGTTCATAACATAGCACATCAATTCTATTAGTTGTTAAGTTTAGTATCATCAAAATTTCCTAACACTTAAAAACATTTTGCAGGTTAGATAGCCTTGCTTTATAAGAATTCCTGGTGTGCACAATTACTCTTGAGGAGTCACTGCCAATCATAAATTAAGTCAGTGACATATAACCAAATAATTTCCAAAACAAAGTTATAAACAATAACTGTTCACCACATTAAAATCATTTTAATGTCAAACAGACATGCATGTTAATATTTTCAATATGATTTTGGAAAAGTGCCTCCAAGAATCAATTTGAAGATCTAAGGAATGCTAAAAGTGGCCTTCTTGGCCCTCAGCGAATGAAGATGTTTTCTACTTAACTCTTACCATAAAATGTATATATTTAGAACTGAAAGCAGGGTCTTGAAGAGATATTTGCATACTTATGTTCATAGCAGTAATATTCAAAATAGGCAAGAGGTGGAAGCAACCCAAAGATCTATTAATGGATAAATGGATAAACAGAATGTAGCATATACATACAATGTAATATTATTCAGCCTTAAAAAAAGAAAGAAATCCTGTCATATGCTACAACATGGTTGAATCTTGAGGATATTTTGCTAAGTGAAATAAGCCAGTACAAAGGGAGAGATACTCTATGATTCCATGTATATGAGTTATTGAAAGTAGTCAAATCTACAGAGACAGAAAGTAAAAGGATGGTTCCTAGGAACTAAGAGATGGGGAGTTACTATTTAATTGGTGTAGACCTTCAGCGCTGCAAGAAGTAGTTAGGTATATCTATTACACAAACGTGAATATACTTAGCACTACTGAACTGCATACTTAAAAATGGTTATGATAGTAAATTTTATGTGTTTTTATAATTTGTTTTCAAATTTTTATTCAAATTCTAGTTAACATATAGTGTAATATTGGTTTCAAGAGTAGAATTTAGTGATTTATCACTTATATATAACACTCAGGGCTCATCACAACAGGTGCCCTCCTTAATACCCATTACCCATTTGGCCCATCCCCTAACCACCTCCCCTCCATTAACCCAATGGACTTTGTTCAGTTTGTTCTCTGTAGTTAAGAGTCTCTTATGATTTGCTTCCCTCTTTCTTTTTTCCCCCTTCCCCTATGTTTATCTGTTTTGTTTCTTAAATTCCACATGTGAGTGAAATCTTACTGTATTTATCTTGCTTTGACTGACTTGTTTCGCTTAGCATAATATGCTCTAGCTCTGTAATACACTCTCGCTCATTGCAGATGTCAAGATTTCTTTCTTTTTGATGGCTGAGTAATATTCCTTCGTGTGTGTGTGTGTGTGTGTGTGTGTGTGTGTGTGTGTGTGTGTGTATCTTTGTCCATTTATCAGTTGATGGATGTTTGGCTTTTTCCATAATTTGGCTGTTGTTGATAATGCTTCTATAAACATTGGGGTGCAAGTGTCTCTTTGAATCAGTATTTTTGTATCCTTTGGGTAAATACTAGTAGTGCAATTGCTGGGTTGTAAGGTAGTTCTATTTTTAACTTTTTGAGGAAACTTCGTACTATTTTCCAGAGTGGCTGCACCAGCTTGCATTCCAACCAACAGTGTAAGAGGGTTCCCCTTTCTCCGCTTCCTTGCCAACATCTCTTGTTCCCTGTGTTGTTAATTTTAGACATTCTGACAAGTGTGAGATGATATCTTACTGTAGTTTTGATTTGTATTTCCCTGATGATAAGTGATATTGAGATCTTTTTGTGTGTCTGTTATCCATCTGTATGTCTTCTTTGGAAAAATGTCTATCCATATTTTTTAACTGGATTATTTTTTGGGTGTTGAGTTTGATAAGTTCTTTATAGATTTTGGGTACTAACCCTTTATCAGATATGTCATTTGCAAATATCTTCTCCCATTCCGTAGGTTGCCTTTTAGTTTTGTTGATTGCTTCCTTCACTGTGCAGAAGCTTTTTATTTTTATGAAGTCCAATAGTTCATTTTTGCTTTTGTTTCCCTTTGCCTCCAGTGATGTGTATAGTAAGAAGTTGCTATGACCAATGTCAAAGAGGTTGCTGCCCGTGTTCTTTTCTAGGATTTTGATGGTTCTCTGCCTCACATTTAGGTCTTTCATCCATTTTTTTAAAAGATTTTATTTATTTACTTATTTGAGAGAGAGATCATGGGGTTGGGGAGCCATAAAGGGAGAAGCAGACTCCCCACTGAACAGGGAGCCCAGTGTGGGACTTGATCCCAGTACCTTGAGATCATGACCTGAGCCAAAGGCAGACGCTTAACCGAATGAACCACCCAGGCGCCCTCTTTCATCCATTTTGAATCTGTTTCTGTGTATGGTATAAGAAATTGGTCAAGTTATACTCTTTTGCATGTTGCTGTCCAGTTTTCCCAACACCATTTATTGAAGAGACTGTCTTTGCCATTGGATATTCTTTCCTGCTTTATTGAAGATTAGTTGACCATAGAGTTGAGGGTCCATTTCTGGGTTCTCTGTTCTGTTCCATTGATCTGTGTGTCTGTTTGTATGCCAGTGCATACTGTCTTGATGACTACAGCTTTGTAATATATCTTGAAGTCCAGAATTGTGATGCCTCCAGTTTTGCTTTTTTTTTTTTTTTTTTTAAAATTTTTTTGGCTGTTCGGGGTCTTTTGTGGTTAGCTATTACAAGTTTTTGAGCCCTCACTCTATTCCTAGGATTGTGCTATATATAGAAATATTTTGATAAACACAAGTTTTTGTCTTGTTTTCATATCACTTCCCCAATATAGTGGGAAAGAAAAAAATATATATATATACACACACACATACACACATATATACACATATATCTACATGTATATAATAGTTCTCAAACTTGAGTAATTTAAAACCCATTTAAATTAAAAAGAAAAGTAACAAAAAGGTAAGACATAAATTTTGTGTAAAGTTAATGAAATATGTACATAAGTAAAACCTGATTGAACAAATAGTATTTAACTTTTGGACAATTATAAAGCAAACAAAAATTATAAATGACACTATTACTTTTATTTCCTTTAAATATGTGATCCCTTCTTTGTATGGCAATGTAGATACATTTGTTAGGCCTTCAAATGGGAGAAAACATTTTTACATTTTTTATCCCATGTTATTTTCTTTAGCATATGACAATATAGTGTGATATGTCCAACATGATTAAAAAAGTAAATGCAAACTTCAGCATTTAAATAGTATCATAGTACTTAGTTATAAATGCTCAACTGGATGATCTAGAAATGCTTACATATATATTTTTTTAAAATCATTAATGAAATAAAAACAAACTTAAAACATTTTCAAAAATATTTCAAAGACACCCTCTGAGAATACAAGAGGAACCCCAGTTTGGGAAAACCTAAGTTATAATACAATGTGAGAAGACGTATTAAAGAGATATATATAAAGTGATATTGGAATATGAGAGGATGATTTATTCTGCTACAGGGCACCAAGGAAGGCTTCAGAGAGAAAGTGTCAATTAACATTTAAATTGGACTTCCTTAGCTGAGTATGAAATGCCAATGAGGTAAGTGTGTGTGTGTGTGTGTGTTTGTGTTTGTGTTTGTGTGTGTTGCTAGAGAAGCAAATTCCAATAGTGGGAGTAACTTTAGCAAAGGCCAAGGCATAAGACAGAGTGTGGTACACCTGAGGGAGCAACATGTAGTATATTTGGGAGTGTAGCTGAAGATAGAAATAGAAAGGTACAGAGGGCCAATTTATAAAGGACTTTGATGCCATACTTAAGAATTTTGAACTTTATTTAATAGTAATGTGGCACTATCAGAGACTATTAAATTACAGAGAAAAGGTTGATTATATTTGTGTTTTAGAAATACACTGATAAAGAATTACATAAGGACAGGTTGTATAGCAAGAAAATAATAACTGCCACCAGGAGTTACAAATAAACCTAAAAGATTTGTCAAGACTGAAGATAAGTTAATGTAAAGGCAATTATTTTGTTTAATGTTAAGGAAACAATGATTTTTTTTTCTTAAGGAGGGACCAAAACTGCAAAAGAAATTTGTATATTACTATTATTTAGTTTTTGAGATACAGTAAATACCACCATAAAACCTTTTAAAATAAATGGCTGGAGTTTCCAACTAAAAGGACTAAGAGGAAGTGTTCTTATATTTGTGAATATTTTTCAAGTGAGATCAGGTCACTGAATTACAGATGTGGGAGAGATAAGGAACTGAACATTTTAAGACTCCCAGTGCTGTGTTTTTTCCTACTGAGTATGATTCATGCTTCCTTCAAGAACAGAAGTGAGAAGATCTATCTTTTTGTGATAAGCCAAGTTGAGAAAAGTGCAGGTATGGGAATTTAGGTATGGGTCATAATAGATTGATTTTGGTTACACCTTGAATTGGAAAGAGAACAGATGAAAGATTCTCATTCATTCTTTGGTGTTATAAGACGTCACTTAGAAGTTGAAGTTGAGGCAGTCATTAAAAACATGTTGCTAGCCTGATTTCCTGGATATCCACAGATGAATTAAATTCATTATTTTAGGGGCGCCTCGGTGGCTCAGTGGGTTAAGCATCTGCCTTCGGCTCAGGTCATGATCCCAGCGTCCTGGGATCAACCCCTGTGTTGGGCTCCCTGCTTAGTGGGGAGCCTGCTTCTCCCCTTCCCTCTGCTACTCATGCTCTCTCTCTCTTTCACTCTCTATCTCAAATAAATAAAATCTGTAAAAAATTCATTATTTCAAAAATTGAAGTTATAAACTTACCTGTCTCAAACATTGTCGCTCTTTCTGAATTTTACTTTTAGTAAATGGCATGCCTAATTTTCCATTGACACTCCCTCCTGGTTGCTAAAACTATAACCCTGGTAACCCTCTAGAATCCCCCCTTTCCCAGATTTTCTTGCCAAATTTCTTTGCTTCTATATTTATAGAATTCATCCATTCTGCTCTGTAGTAACTGCAAGCTACTGCCTCCATTTAATTCCTTATTATCTCAAACCTCTGTTCTTAAAATATTCTTGTCTCTGGTTTTGCCTTCTTCTCAATACATCCTTCACAAATCTACCATAATAATATTTTGACCTAAAATATAATCAGTCCCTAATATATTGGGACAGTATGGTTTCAGTCTCATGAAGTCATATAATGGGTTTAATATCAAGCATAATGTTTATAGGCTGAGAATTGTGAGACAATATTATTTAGCCTTCATGTCTTAGTTTCTCTCACAGTAAGGCTGTGAGGATTAAATAGTATGTAGAACAATACATGGTACATAGTGAATGCTTAGCAGTGTTGTTATGGTCTTTGTTGTGACTCCCCTCGGCCCCCCCCCCCCCCCCCCCCCCCCCCCCCCTCCTTATCTCCATCTCAGGAAAATCCAATGTGGTAATCAAGGCTTTCTGTAATCTAGCCACTGCTCACCTCTCAGGTCTTATCTTTCTCCTATGATATTAGGAACTGTGGGCTTCAGACATGTAGAGGAACCTGAATGAACCTGAATGAACCATGATTACTCTTCGTTTTAGGCCCTTACACATGCTGTTCTCATTAAATATCTTTTCCCCTTGGCAAAATAGTTTCTAATTTCCTTCTTTGTTCATATTAATGCTCTTGGAGAGCAGTTTGCCAGCCCTATCAGAACGGAGTAGCTGTAATGCTATATATTCCTGTGATACCTCATATGTACTTTTATCATGACAGTTATTACCCTGCTTCGTTGCTTATCTGTCTCATCAACCAAGCTGAACTCCCTAAGGCCAGGATTTTAGGCCTTACTCATATCTAAAATTTCAGGATGTAGGCCAAATATATCTTAAATGAAAGTGGCTCGAGTTATGTTAGTAGCCTTCCCAAATTTCAGGAGATCCTCAGAAATCTCTCTGTGGAGAATAAACCCATTTTGATGATAGATTATTACTCATATATACAAACCAGAATTGTAAAATTGGAGAACATTTATGAACTATTTAAAATTAACCCCATTATTTTAATATTTTACCTCTTTTCCCCAAATTAAGACTTGAAATTGCTCCCTGGAGCAGTTGGTAATTTGTATAGTTAAATATATTTGACAAAGTATAGTTTTCAAATGAGAAAACATAGACATATATTTCAAAAGAATAGTAGCTACAAAATATTTTAACACAAAGGAAATTTTGATCAGAAGTCTCTTAGAGGCCAGTTAGAGAAATCAAAATGTTCTGGCAACTGGAACAATTGAGATTAAGTAAACTAATTCCATGGTTTTCCTTTCTCTGAATGGTCTATTATTGCTTTGGTTCATTTGCAAAATAATTTTTAGTTTCAAAAAGAAAATTGTGTTGATATTAAGGAAAACATTTGGGAATTGTAATTAGATTGTAGAGAAGAAATTATTGTAATGATGCATCTTTCCTTATTCAGTATATTAGATCTCTGTTTTCCATTTTTCTTTTGTTCTTCTCAGGTTATCAATTTTTTTCCTAGCTTTCTATTTTTTTTTTAAACTACAATGTTCAGTGAAATCCCCCAAACAGTCTATACTCTGAGGAATTTATATTCTTCTAAAAGAAAAGGTTCTAAGTTAAAATTGGGACACTGGCAGTGCTTCACAGTCTCAAACCAATTCCCAGGGTAATGCAGAAAGCATTTTTGACCCCCTAAAGAGGGTATGGCATGAAATGTGCATTCAATTCTTCAACTAGGGAGATAATTTAACATGGAACCTTATGTATTTGTTATCCTAGGAATCTGCAGTTTCTCTTTTTGTCATTCTTTGTGTGTGTGTTTCTGTCTTTGTTTTGTGTATGTGTGTGTATGTGTGTGTCAGTGTACACATATATATACATGTACACTCTCTGTATCATGTGTTCCAGTGAAGATAAATCTATCTGTTCCTGAAAGACTAGGCAGGAAGCTCAAGCCTGGCCAGGTACAACATCAAAATCTACTAACTCCAATTTTTTTTTTTTAAACCACGTTACTTACTAAGAATATCTTCAGTCTGAAGAAGATGACAAGTTCATTGTAAGGAGGACAGAGACAGAAACCAGGATCTATTTGAGCTCTTTCATCACTTAATCTAGCAGTATTCACAGCCCCTTGAATTTTCAGTTATATGAGACAGTAGATGTTGGATTTTCTTTTGTTTATGGGAAAAGGAATCCACACTGATAACATGAGCATTAGGTAGTTTCTCATGGGTTCCAAAGTCTTGCAATATGTAAGAGGCCCTCAAAAGAGATTTAAAACATAGATTCTCAGACCCCAAACAGAGACTTTGGTTCATTTGGGAAGGAGAGAGAGAGGGAGAAAAATGCTGGATTCTACATTTTAAAGAAGGATCTTCAATTATTCTAACGTGGATAGTCTACACACTATATATTGGAAAAACTAATGTAATGATTGCCTGTTTTCTTTTTCACAGTTGTCCAAAGGCTCTCCTGAGGAAATGTTTTAGACTAATATTAAAACCAAAATTAAAAGCAACTTGAATTTATATCCCTTAATCATTTACCTTTGGAATTTCCACCCTTTCCTTTGAGTTAACATCATCCTGCCTGCAAGGGTCTTGGGGTAAATTTTTACAATGTCAATAGCTCTCCTGTAGGTTCTGAAAAATTAACTGTACTTATAATTTACTTTAAGATAATTTAAGGCTTAAGAGTTATTTATTATTATTTTTTGTAAACTTAAAAAACAATTTATTAATTTACCACCAGAGTTAAATTTTATATGAACCACAGTAGTCAGGTCATCTGACTGGCCTATTCCTATTCCTATTCCTCCAGCTATCAGAGCCAAAGACAATTTTACTGTCCAGTCTTCTCTAGATCAGGCTCAGATAAAAGAGTTTAAAAATCTGTTTATTTTAAGTCGGGAAAAAAGGAAAGAAAAAGGAAGGCAGGAGGGAAAAAATGAACTGTGGAAGAATGAAGGAAATTATTGAGAATTAATTATATTAACTGTTGAATCTACTAAGAAGAATAGAAATTATTTTTCTTAGCAATTCCATTCTACTAATTTCATTTAATTCACTGATTTGGTCAGTGAGTATCTGTGGAATATTAGCTATGTTCCAAGCATTGCATTAAGAATAAAAAGATACAGATACATGGTGCTACTTTAAAATAGTTCACTGACTAATAGAGAAATCCAAATACATTCAATGACTAGCATTATATATATTCCATGTGTGCTAGATATGATGGTGTTACAAAATGGAACTTTACATTTGTAGGAGAAATGCACATCTTAAAAAGACACTAGAGCTGTATTAAATAAGTAATTCTAATAGTTATTAATTGAGCATACCTCAGAGAATTATCTTGCACAGTGGGATTGGCCTGGAGAAATTATCATTTCAAAAGATAAAAACACAGAAAGCAATTTCTCTACATTGGTTAATTGAAGGAGGGCACCCTGAAACACACTTAGAAGAATCCATGGACCTGTTTGTATGTCTTGCAAAAGCTGTATGAGCTCTAATAGCAACTCTGCTGTTTACTAATAGTCACTGAACCTCTCCAAACCACTGTTTCCTAATTTTTAAAAAATGATAAAACTTATTG